TAATTTTATTAGCGATGATCAATTTAATTAAACAGCTTTTGGTTGTTCGGGCTGTTTTTCGGAGTTCATATCTATTTATATATTTATATAAATAATAAATATATAATAGATTTGTCGAAAATGATTTTATTATTATTTAATCTTGATGAAAATAAATAATAAAATTCTTCAAACTTTTTCGATTCACTGTAGTAGGTGGTTGTGTGTACTCACCACCCCCTCCCCTTATCCACCTTACGAATGTAAAAAAAATATATTTTATCTAACGAAAATACGGTTTTCTTGTTTATTTTTTTCCTTCTACTAAATTGATTACTTTCTCGTTAGAGTTCATATTTTTGGTTTAGAATTTTTTTCGAGTTGCATATATGTGTTTAACGAATGTTATTATTGGTGTAGAGTATACGGGGCCGCATATATGCGTTTTCAAAGTTTTTTTTATCTCGAACGTGATATAATTACAATTATTATAAGATTACTATTTTATAATATAATTTATAATATATATTATATAATGTAATTATTAAAAAGAAAAAGAAAATAATTTATGGAACCTTTAGGTAGATTTTCTATGGAACTAAGTTTGAAGATCATCATGTGTTTTGTTTTCTTTTTAATTCTTTTTTATTTCATATCGATAATCTCGATGCATAAAAATAAATGAATAAATAAAACAAAAAGAAGAGAAATAAACGAATTTTATAGGATCTATGTTGCTCGTTCATTTTTTGTATTTCATATTTGTCAAATAAAAAGAACTTATGGGATTATTTACAGTATGGGTCAGTTTTTTTTTTTTAAACCTATAAATGTATTTACGAATCGATGAAAAAATATTCGAATATCGATTGTAATAAAAAAGTTATATATATATAGTGTCGCATACGTTTTTCAATATTACGAATAAAAAGTATTTGTATTTTTTCCTTTATAATTATACAATTGGAATTTTATCCTCAAAGTATAATAACAGAGGGGGATTTGATTTTACTCGTTTGAAAAACATACCCTTTTTTTTGGTCGTTCGTGTTTTGCACGACAAATAACACTGTTAATGGATTTAATATTTTTTTTTTTACCTATACCAACACGAAATATGACAAACGATATGGTTTCTTTTTTTTTTCTTTTCTCCCTGTCATCGTGTGCGTTACCAAAATATTGTCAATCAAATTATTTGTTTTATTTTTATACAAATATTAAAATTAAGTATTCGACTAAAGAAAAGAAAAAAATCAAATAGAAATATTTCCTATAGATTATTTGTAAAACGTACAAAAAAGAAAAAAAAAGAAAAAAAAAAGAAAAAACTGTAAAATGTAAAAATTAAATTGATCGATGATTTATTACGTTTGTTATTTCATTTGAAAATAAAAAACAAAAATAAAATTTACACAGAAATTATATATAAAATAAAAAAAGAAATATTCATAACAAAAATACGTAATTAAATGAAATAATAATTAAAAATTCCAACCTAAATAATATGTGCAATTGAGGATTAAATATAAATAAAAAATATTGGAATAATAATGAATATAGATAAACGAATTACCTCGTGAATATTTTCTTGACTGGCGCAGATATTTTGACGACAGGACATTGTTGAATCAGAATATTTGCATAATTTGAAAATAGAAGGTGAAAGGTAAGAATGACAGTGATCATCCGTCGACTGAATAATTTCTTCCTCGTTTTGTTCCTTCATAATCGGCAGATATTCACCGCTGCAGTCAAGATTTGCCAGATATCCGTAAAGATTGAGGAAGGTACGAAGACATATCATCGCAGAACCGCCCTTAGGCTCCTCCGTCAGTAACTCGCAAACGTAAATCATCGTCTCCGTTAAGTTCTACGAGTTTTTTACTTTTTTTATTTTTATTTTTTTTTTTAAACGTACAACCGATCGAGAAATTATGCTAATAGCAAGTATAGAAAATTTTTTTGATTTCTTCTTCTTTTTCGATAGGATACAAAGATGATATCGTTGTACCTTCGAGTAATGATAACGTTTATATAGGGTGAAACATTTGAAATCGAAGTATTTTTCGTATCTACTTCTATTGGGTTACTAAAGAATATTTCCTATAAATTTATATATATATTATTATATATTTTTTATACTTTATTTGTAAAGTAATAA